CTGTGAAGCATGGTGGTGGTAGCATCATGATTTTTGGGATGATTCTCTGCAGCAGGACCTGCAGTCATTATTTGATTGCTAATATTAAGTCAAAAATGTTTTTCTCATTATTTTTTATAGTTTTATGTTTAAATAGCCAAATAAGAGAAGAATTTGTTGGTAAATGCACAAATTTACATGAAATTCTGGAATATAAATATCAAATTTGGACACAGTCAAAATGTTTGCTTCATTATGTCAAAGGTTTTTAACAGGGGACATAAGTCCAAAGTTGCTGTTGCCAGTCAAAGGAAAAAAGAAGACATTTAAAAAAAACAAAAAACAAAAAAAAAACAACATGTTCCTAAGGGTAAAATCTTATTTGAAACAGGTTGTGAACGTAATATTAATAAAACTGTGAAGTTAGAACAAATTCATGTTCACCGTTTCACGTCGCAGTCCATCAGTGACGTGGGGTCAGGGAAAGAAAAAAAAAAACTTAATGATTTTCCGTAGTTCAGCTAATGTATATAATAATGTAGAGTGGTTTTTTATTACCAACTGTATGTGTGTAACATGCTTCGTGTGCTGAGCGATCATAAACGGCTGAGAAGAGGTTCTAGGTGAGGCAGGCAGTTCTCTTGCCTCATAGCAGGGGGCGCTCTGATCCCAGACATTATTTTTGTGACTCCTCGGCTGCAGAGTAAGTGACAGCAAGCTAGACGAGGTACAATCTACAATTAGCAAATCAAGCGCAGCGAAGGAAGATCAGGAGACTTCTACAAAAAAAGTAATGCATATTTTTTGTCCACAAGCAGCAGCGCATAGACTTAATTTATAAGCAAAGATATATGCAGACGACACCCAGCTCTACCTCACCACTGCACCCTCGTCCTCACTACCACCCACCTCCCTCACCAATTGCATCTCTGAAATAAAAACCTGGTTCACCATAAACTTCCTTAAATTAAACAGTAATAAAACAGAGGTTCTCCTCATGGGCACAAAATCCACTTTATCCAAAACCGACAGCTTTTCCATTAACATTGACAACACCTCTGTATCACCCTCCCCCCAGGTTAAGAGTCTGGGTGTCATCCTTGACGGTACTCTTTCCTTTCAGTCTCACATCAATAACATTACCCGGTCTGCCTACTTTCACCTACGAAGCATCAATCGCCTCCGCCCCTCCCTCACCCCCCACACTGCCGCCATCCTGGTCCACAGTCTCGTCACCTCCCGTCTGGATTACTGCAACTCTCTCCTCTTTGGCCTTCCTCACAAATCACTCCATAAACTTCAACTGGTCCAGAACTCAGCTGCCCGCATCATCACAAGAACTGCCTCCATCCACCACATCACCCCTGTCCTCCAACGGCTCCATTGGCTCCCGGTTCAGTTCCGCATTCAATGCAAAATCCTCCTGTTAACCTTCAAGGCAATTCACAACCTCGCCCCCCCATATCTGTCTAACCTCCTCCATGTTCCCATTCCCTCCCGCCCCCTCAGATCCTCTTCCTCCCCTCCGCCCGTCTCACCACCATGGAACTCTGGAACTCACTACCACCCTCTCTCAGAAACATTGATTCACTCTCTCATTTCAAATCCCAACTCAAAACACACCTGTTCAAAATTGCTTATTCCCTGCTGTGACAATTGCACTGACTGATGAATTTTTAATTGTTGTATACTGTATTATTGTGTATTTTATTGTTTCTTTCATCTTTTGTAAGGTGTCCTTGAGTGACCAGAAAGGCGCCTTTTAAATAAAAATTATTATATATTATTATTATTAAAGGTAAGACTGCAATCACTTTTTTTTTTTTTTTTTTATGAAATGTGCATTTTGTGGGCTACAGTTTGTATGTGTGAAGATATGAAACATAACCCGTAGATTGCTGCCAATGAAATGGCAAATAAGCTACTCTGCAGAGTGCATATATTTGTAAATCTGATTCTGATGAAGTCAGTGCCTCACCAGCAATGAACCTCACCGTACGTCACTGATTTACATGTGCTGGTAGATCAAATCAGAATGTACACTTTCCTAAGACATGGAATCAGAGAATATATAGTACAGATTGGTGAAAGTGGAGACACTCAATGTGCTGGATTGTATTGGTGAAATGCAAAGTTGTCACTGCTGTGATTGTGAGTAAAATTAAACTAACACACACAAACTAATGTTGAACAGGAGTTCACAATGACTAAAGGAATAAACTACCAGCCTACATTAAATATCATACACTCTCTTCTCAAAGACAGCCATATGAGAGTTTCAAACATAATATAGTGATGCTACACTTTCATCAACACACGTATCTGAAGAGTTCAGCTAACATGCAGGTGTAGTTCTTTGTGGAACCTCTTTGTGGCAGACTTTCCCATCAGGCTGCTCTCTCCACTTCAGGGTGACTCCACTCACTCCTTTCTCCTTCAGTCTGTCCTGGAGCTGAGAGACAAACATGGCAGCCATTGTTGAAACATCCATTCAAACTGAAATCTGTGTTGAGTTTGTAGGAAGCTAGCTTTCATTCGGTCTGTGATCACCGTGCCCAGAATGCTGCCTACTTGAAATGTGTCAGAAGTCTCAGGATGGTGTTTGGAGACTTGCCTTTTTCAGGAGCTCTGCTTTCACAGCAGGGTCGTTGGGATCCACAGAGGAGTCGTCCAGTTTGATCCTCAGCTTCACTACCTGCTTCTTTACTTTTGTTAAAACACAGAGAAAGAAGAAGAGGAGAAATTAAACATGCTTGGAATTGTTCTCTGATAACAAACACAAAAATCTATTTTTAAAAATGCAGTGAAGGTCAGCACTCACCAGGTATGCTGTAGCAGACAAATGGTATTCTGATATTGCAGTCCAAAAATCTCCATCTTCCTGCTCTGTGCGGAGATGAAACTCCGCACATGACTCTCTCTGAGCCATTTTGATTGTCAACATCATCAAAGTGGCTGAAAGAGAAGCTGCTCCCATCAGACCAGTAAAAATTAGGATCTCTAAATAAACCAATCCATGCCCAATTGCTGTCTAAGCTTTGGAGCTGCTGGTTCTGGATCTCATTCCTCACAGTGGCCAGGTCTATGAAGTTCTCCCTGCAGTACTTCTGAGCACTGGACGAAGACATGTGTTCATTCACAACAACGTACTCAGGATCCAGCTGTGTTCCTGCAGTTTGAGAAAGAAGATGAGTTCATGTACTTTGTTTAAAAACAATGCTTCTTAAGACTGAAGGACTTCATGTAACAGAAACAGTTCACCCCTGTGCAATATCACTTCAATGACACATGATTCAAAGTTGTATCAACTCTTACTCGGTATTATTTCTGAGTTATACTGAAAATACAAGCCCCAAGATAGAAACTTAAGGCACGAAAGGTGAATACACCAGTGATCCATCCATCCATTATCCATACACCACTTTATCCTCTGTAGGGTTGTAGGGGATCTGGAGCCTATCCCAGCTGACTCAGGGTGAAGGCAGGGTTCACCCTGGACAGGTCACCAGTCTATCACAGGGCCACACTGAGCCATATAACCAAGAACACTCACATTCACACCTCCCCACAATTTAGAATCACAAATTAACCTCAGCAGGTCTTTGGACTGTGGGAGGATGCTGGAGATCCCGGTGAGAACCAACACAGACACAGGAAGAACATGCAAACTCTACACAACAATCCTAAGCCATGAGTCCAACCCAGGATGTTGTAGCTGTGGGGCAACAGTGCTATCCACAGTCTCACTAAAAAGGGAAAAAATAAAATAAACTGATCAGAAAAAGAAAAAACAGTTGAGATTTTCATTAAGCCTCGCTAAATTAGAGCTGCAGTGTTCATGTTCCTAAAATGACCCAATTGGCAGGGCCCTTTGTGCACAATCAGAATCAATTTTATTGGCCAAGTTTGTAAACCTACAGTAATTATTTGACTCCAGTGAATCGTAGCTCTCTGTATGAGAAATACAAATAATAAACTACAACAATAAAATAAGAGTAAGAGCAATAAATAGCAGTATTACAATATAATATGTGTGCAAAGAAGCAGGTTACTGAGTCAGGTGTGGTAACAATTCAATTCTTTGATTGGCAAGTGCTTCAGACAGTCAAGTGGAAAAGGAAAGCGCATAACGACTAATTTGATGAACCTGATCAGGACAACCACAGTACATGGATAGTCCTGACAGTGAAGCACAGAGGTGGGAGTGTGATATATGGTTCTACATGAGTGCCAAAGGTGTTGTGGAGATAACATTTTTAAAAATTATTGACTGTAGATATACCAAAACAATGGTTAACAAGATGACTCCCAGCCTGCAGAGGGTTGGTAAAAGAAGAATGTTCCCCCATGATGATGATCCAAAGCACACTGTCAAAATTTTAGTTTATAAAGAAGACAAAAGTGAAAACTATGACCTGGACAAGTGTGTCCCCTGAGCTGAATCCAAAAGTCACACCATTGAGGTATTTTAAAGGAAAATGCAGAGTATTACGGTCCTGCTTACAAAATGCAAACACTAACGTAACTCTGTCAATTTCGGAAGAACTCACAAGCAGAATGGATGGCAGTGAAGAAAAAATAGGCATTTATTTACAAGTATGTAAATAAATGTAAAAATGAAGGTTTCAAAAAAGTGTGTGGGAAGGGTCAACTGTGGGGTTGTGCCAAATCAGAGAAATAAAATATAATAAAACAGGGCCTAACTCAAATCTTTCTGTAAGGAAAGAAAAGGGAAACAAAAGGCCTGGCTGTCTGTCTTATCTAATAGTGACGGAAAAACAAAACTTCAAAGCTGACAGCAGCGTTCAATATGACAGCAAGCAAGAGGCAGAGAGTGCACAAAGGAGCAAGAGGGCTTATAAAGGAGAATCCTCCACCCCGATTGGACAACCGGCCAGAGTGCGAGCCAGTCACCCACTCCTCAGGGGCTCACAGGTGGCAGAAGCAGGAAACCCACAGGTGTCAGCCAATCTTCTAATAATCACCTGCAGGAGAGAGGTGGAGAGGGAGACACACACGCACACACACACACCGATCCTCCACTCTGCGCGTAACAAAGAGCAACACAAGCTCTCCAGTAAAAGGCAGCTGAAAAATGTATCTCTGAAGAACAGCAGAACATCTCTATGGTGTCTTTCATCATGAGGAGAACTGAGTCATCAAAACTAACAGTGGCTACAAGATGTATTTTTTTTAAAGAATTCAGTCATAGTAATGAAAGGCATACCGACTTTTTTTGTGTGGTGTTCCTTTTTATTTTTACATGAGCAAATCCCCTCTGTTCAACTTGTATTCTATGCTGTGGAGAACTGAGTCATCAAAATTGAAAGTGGACACATGAAGTATTAAAAAAATCCGTCTTAGTCATGAAAGGCGGACCGACTTTTGTTGTGTAGATTCCTACTGTGTGTTACTTGTTACTGTTACTACAAATGAGCAAATGCCCAACTGTTAATGTCAGAAATGGTTCAGTTACTGTAAGGTGATAAAATGCTGAATCATGTGATATTTACATGATGTTGCACAGGTACTGTATTTGATTGATATCCTTACCTTTGTAGCAGACTACTGTGTACGGAGACGAGCAAGATGTATCATACCATTGTGCAATCGATGAAGTGACACCGCAAAACTGATTTGCAGAAGAAAAATTGGGTTGTTCTGGTCCCCAGTTCCTGTACTCAGCCCCGCTCCCTGTGAACCCATCTGACCACCTCCAGTCGATTTCAGTATACAGACCGATCCACACCTCAGGGTTGTAACCAGAAGATGAAACTGTGTCAACGAGTTGGTTGATTTCCGTCGTGCTCTCTGTGGTGGCCAGGTCTGTGTATGTCTCTCTGCAGTAGGACTGAGCTTCATGCCAAGTCAATGGTTCGTTCACAAAGTGGTACTGACGGAGAGGACAGGAGGGGAGGATGAGCCACCCTGTGAGAAAAACATAGGTCATCTAAATTTCTGAAAATACAAGGTGGCTCCAATTAACAAAGTATCTTTTGTCCAGTACTTAACCTCCTGAGACCCGAGATTTTGTTTGGTATGCATTTTTTTTTTTTTTTAAATACATTTTTAATTTTCCTTAGTTTGTTGGGATTAGAACCAATGATCGATTTGGCCATTGTGTTCAGATGGGGATAAATTAGCTGTATGTGCTTCCTGTCTCTTACTTCCGGAGGGCAAGCAGGTACGAGCTGTGCTATGCATTGAGACATCGGATGGATTTGACTTCGAATTGACATTACTTTTCATTCAAGGCTGGCGTTCTGTGGCGGGGAACAGATGCAGCTGCCGTGTACCGTGTGCCGACGGAACGGCGTCCAGAGTTAGAGGCGCGGTAATGCCGTCATAAGGTCGCGACCGGCCGAAGTAACTGGATTGTTTGTAGCTCACTATTATCTTATTTTGTTGATTTATCGTTGGTTAAGAATTTTTTTTTTCATTACAATTTGCAACTGTTGCCTTGTCGTCTTGTTTTTTTGTCTTTTGTTTACTTTTCTTTCTTTGCCCTCCCTGAGTGTTTTAGTTTAGGTCGCCTGAGTTGAGTTTTACATTATTATTAAGTTGGTTTGGTTCTAACGGTGACAGTCTTAAATGGAGCAGTGCCTCAGTCAGTTCTTTTTCTTGTTATATTTTTATTTGTTTTTAGATGTGTAGTTTGGGTGTTTTTTTCCCCCTTTGTTTTAAGGGTTAGGGTTCGAGGGGGCGTCCTGTTTCCATTGTGTGTAAGTTTTGATAGGTATCTTTATTGGATTAAACGAACAAATAGTGTTGTGCTTTAAACGTTGTCTTGGTTGCAGAAAACAAAATTGTATTCATATTTTTCTGAACACACGTCTCTGTATTCATTTGTGCTCTAACCTGTGTGTGTCCTTCGGAAGGGGAAACCCTCTGTGAAGGTTCTTACGCTGACTAGGATACCTGTTCATATTCTTGGGTGGAAGGTCCCTCGGTGGCGTTGTCGGTTGTTTTTAACACCAGAAGTCCTTCACCAGTCCTGACTTGGTTACAATGATTATGCTTTTATTTTACTGTATGATAAAATAAATTCACCAGTTTGTAACATTTTTTAAGACTTTTTATTTTAATGCCTAAACTTGGCTGGACATAAACAAAATGAAAACAGTGCAACATGTGTTTCCTGCATTTTGAATTTTCCCTAGTTCTTTGGGATTAGTAGGGCCTGATACGCACATAAACTACCTTTGAACCTTTTGAAAAAAATGATGTTCTCATATGAGGACAATGGTTTGATTTTACTGTATGATACGATAAAGTCACTAGCGTATAACATTGTTTAAAACTATATTAAAGCCTAAACTTTGCTGTACAAAAGCAAAATGCAAACATTTGTTTCTTTTCTTTTCTTTTTATTTATTTTTTTTGACTTTTTTGACTTTTCCTTGTATCATACTACAACTAGTTGTTGATTCTGTGTAGTTCCTGGGTGAAACTGGAAATGTGAAAAGATCGCTGGGCCAGTACGAGACAGCAACACATGCCAGGGCATTTCATGCCAAAATATTTCACTTGAAATTAGGAACTAGGACTAGGAATGCCCTTTTGGGCCATAGGAACAGTCTGTCATACTTATTGAACCAGAACATCCTCATTTGTGGGTAAGGCACGCAAGACATCAAAAGTGATGCTCCAACAAACAATAAACCTCATCAACTGAAGTGTTGAGAGATGTACTGTTGTTAGCTAGTGACATAGCATTTGTGCAGTCCGACATGAGGTTCATCAACTCAGTGTCAATGTACTGCTCCACAGAGTTCAGTGGTTGCCAGTCTCATGCAGCATTTCATCTTCATCCTCAAATTGAACTAAGTCTGGAGTAAATTGAGCAGATGTCCAGATCTGTCTTTGTCCGTCTGTGCTAGGAACTGGCCTCTGCTCTCCATTTCCATCCTTGCTACATCCTGGCTCATCATCCATGTCAACACTACCACACTGGCTTTTACATGCATGTCCCCTGCATCTCTGCACGGG